TATATATATATTACTGTATACTGTATTGTATCAGCTACTACGGTAAATATATTGTATCACTGTGTGCCAAATAGTTTGTAATTATATATGTAAATGAGGACAGTCATATTTTATCATTACTCTCCTTCCTGCTTAGTAGTACTGCACAAGGATTGTGTGCATCACTATTTTCTGCCTTACTAAAAACAACAGATCTCAGCAGTCTTTAAAGATAAGCTCCCCTAAAATAAATACATGATATTAGGGATGCACTGAGTACCGATATTTTTTTTTATCAGAACTCGCCGATACCATACACCGTTACCAGCATCCCGAGGCACCGTGGGCCTAGCTTCCCGGCCAATTAGGAAGTCAGTGTTCTGTTGACAGAACACCGGCTTCATGCTCCCTTGTGACACTGCGAGGCAGCCTGGCTTCCTGACCAATCAGGAAGCCGGGCAGCGGGTCATGACCTGCCGCCTGGCTTCCTGGTTGGTAAGGAAGCCAGGCTGCCTCGCAGCGTGAAGCCGGCTTCCTAGGTAATCTCTGACTGAGGGAGGGTTTTGAGGGATTTGAGGGAGATTACCTCTGACAGGTAGTGCCGCAATGCTCCCTTGTGGCACTAGAGGTGAGAGGTAATCTCCCTCTGACCAGGAGTTCTGGTATCGGGGTAAGTATCAGAGCATTTGGGCGAGTATGATTACTCGCGGAAAAACGCTCAAACAGAGAAATGCCATTATTTTCAATGTGCATGGTTCCCATCTGGGCGTTTTCCCACGAGTACGAACGCGCCCTACGCCCAAAGAAGTACATGTACTTCTTTGGGGCGTTTTGGTCGGGCGTTTCCATTGGGATACAGCCAAGTAGCCCTCAGAAACGCGCGTTCGTCGCGTGGTTTTTTTACAGCGAATTGCGGTAAAAACGCGCGACATACGCGCATATTCACTACGCCTAGTTGTGAACACAGCCTAATGGGGTTAGATTAAAACCAAAGTTCAGTTTAAATCAACTAAATACATCCCAAGTGCATCAAAACAAAAAGATGTTTTACATTACAAAGCTGTCAAAGTCTGAGATGGCAAGCCTGTCCCCTGTCAGCGTGCTGCAGGAGGACCCTTGCTTTCTGTGTGGAAGCAGTGGTTTTTCTGCAGAGATCTGACGCCTTCTACTAAGTGAGAGCTAGAGATCACCAATTGGCTGACTGCAAAGCTATAGATTTGACTCTCAGGGGGTGTCTTAGTAGGGAGACCCCTGCTTCCACACAGAGAGCGAGGGTCCTTATCTGCAACATGCAGCCAGGGAATAAGCTTTTCTACTCCGGCTGTGGCTGCTTTCTAAAAAAAAAAAGAATTGACTAATGCTGGGTGTTCTCAGCCCTGATGTTTTGCAAACATAAATGTTTATTTGAACAGATTATCTAATAGTTTATACAAATCATTGCAAAATAATATAAACATCAATTTTTTAACTTTCAAAGCAAAGTTAACATAAAAACGGCCAAAACCTGCTACAGTCTTTTTTTTTTTACTGTAGTCAGACCGGCTAATGAACCCACCAGAAGATACTCTAAGATAGCCACCTAGCAAACATTTTAAAACAAATAAAAAATGTTTCCCTCTAGAATCAAAATAACTTTAATAAGGTAATGAATGCAAATGAGTGAATCTGTACAAAGTAAGAGGTTAATTAGTTAATTCCCTGATTACTCTTAAAACGTCCATGTATCAGTTGCAAGACACAACAAAAAGTATGTATGGCTACACAAACAAAGCATATTTTACTAAATCCCCCCACCTCATAGATGGCTCAAATTTCATCCAATTGCTGCTGAATCAACCAAAATTCAAGCCATGGGTGGCCCTGCAAGCACCATCCTGCTTAAAAAGGTCAATTTAAAAATAGTCTGAGCTGGGTAGAAATTTATCGGCCAAACAGTGACTACATCATATCAGCGCCACAGCATGCAGGGACTCGTGGGTGCCACGGCTGCTTGAATGTAATAGCTGGCAGTGGAGATTCCGCCATCCATCTGTTGACGTGAATGGGGCATTGATTGATTTTCTCTTGTTCAGTGCGGGTTGAGCGAGAGAAAAATGGGCAGTGTATGGCAGCCTTTGAAATGCCTAGTTCGGACTTCTCCAGTGCAAGCTCATTGCTTGTTCAAGGTGTTCAGGTACTAATGTGGGTAATTTGACTTATCTTTGTCTGTGTGATTGAAATATAAGTGATCTGTATTCTGGTTGTTTAAAATCAATGACCAGTGGAGAGTCACTGATGGGGCATGCTCCTCAACTCAATTGTATAGTGAACAAGCTTACAATGGCTGTTTTTAGAAATTCTATAATTGTTATATCCTAACTAGACATCCCAATGTCTAATGCTAGATAGTTATACCTTTCAGTTTTTTTTTTTTTTGGTTTACTTACAGTGGGGGCTTTCTTTGCCTCCAGCCTTCAACAGTATTCGAGCAATGGGTACATTGTTCGTCATGATAGCAATATCCAAGGGGGTCAATCCCTCACTGTTGGGAGTATTAAGGTCCAGTTCGTCAGCTGTATACTGGTACAGAAGAATCTGGACGGCCTCCAAGTCCTGCTGCTCCACGGCCTCAAATATGGCTTCATTGCACTGGAAGTTCTGTCAAGAAAAAGAAAAAAAAGTTCAAATCACTTTGCTAAAGAGAATGTATAAAATAATTAATTTTGCTTAAAACCCAGCCTTTAGGGTGTATGTATCAGTGATGTGCAGTAACTTCCGTGCTGGGTGAGGCATTCCCACAGCCCCACCGACGCCCCAGCCCGCCGAAGGCCTGCCCCCCAACCCGGTCACCAAGCTAAAGCTGACAGCTTCTTCCTCCATAATACTAGGTGAGGCTCTACCTAACCTGCCTCCCCCGACCGCACATCCCTGGTATTTATACATCTAGTAACAAGTCTTGACAATATAATCTCAGCAAATGATGAAAACACTATAAGTCCATTAGAGGTCACCATTAGTGAAAATCGCATTTCAAAATTATTAGGGCAACCAGAGTTGTATGCAAATCTCAGCTATTCTGGTAAAAATCCAATCTGGCCCTGCTCCCTGCCATATTCTGAATCTCCCTATAATTGCTGTAATGTGATTTAATGTCAATCTGGGGAGGCAGTTAGCGGTAAGGTGAGAAATCCAATTTCTACAGGAAAATGTAAGATTTTCAAATAATTTCAGCTGCCTATACCTCTGGATATACTAATTCTTTTGACATGCAGTTTTATACTAAAGGTAATCTCTGGCTATGCCTTCTCATCATATGCTTAATTTAAATTGTCTGAAGTCTGTGCCAGGTTAGCTTTTAGTTAAAGCAGAACTCCAGACATTATATATATATATATA